CCGGAATTAAGGACTCGCATATATATGAAAGGCCGTCAGGGTTGAGCAGAAGGGGGTTGGCTGGTCTGGGCTCCTCTCGAAGGGGAGGCAGTGGCGGCCGGGCTTAGTGTGGAAACTCTGGCAGACTGACTTCTGTAAAATATAATGCGGTAATAAGACGAGGATCATTCCCTTCGCCCTGAGTACATCACAGCCCAGCCTAGGCTACGTGCCCACCTACCTGTCTGCTTACCTACCTACCCACCTACCTACCTAGAAGCCTAGCTACCTTCAGACCTAATGGTAATTACATCCATCCCAGCCTCCCTGGCCCGCTCCTGCTGGAGGTTGACTCAAATTAAATCGAGTCGTCGCGTCAGACGGAAAATTAGCACAGCTTCTTAACGCCCGTCGCTGCCGCTTCAGGATTAGGTTCCGGGATACCATCATCTCCAGGAAGTAACCCCTATAAGCGCAGTCCTCGAGAATCACATATCTCTCGAATACCTCGAGTAATAGGAATGCCTATGTAATTTCTATAATTCCACAAAAAATTTATCCTTAAATATCGAAAACTAATGGCTGACACAGACTGAACTACCGTGAACACTACCGTGAACGAGCTAATTTCTACGTTAATTACACCGAAGCTCTGTTGGTCACACGAATCGAACGAGCAAGTGGAATTCGTTGAACCAGACTTGCCCTGTAAATCAGAATGATTACTCGTACACGGAGAGGCTCGTAAACGCGAGTAAATTATCGTCATACCGTCACTAATTGAATGTACCTAATATAGTATGCGAGTCGTATAGCGCTTGGAGAATGTAACCAATCAAACAGATTGGTACGTATACGTTTACTGGATTAGTTTTAAAGCTCCCTTTCTGACCGTCCCAATCATCAAGCAAAGCTTATTAGGGTTTCGTTCAGAATTGTATGGTAACTCGAGGATACTAGTTTTCGTCAGTACAGTGGAAAATTACGACTGAAATTGCATACCTTGAATGAGTCCTCGACGTCTTTATCAGTTACGAAGTTATAAGCTGTAAGGCAGACTGAGGACATTCAGTTTGTAACAGTGGATGTCTGAGCAAGGAATACTCCGTTACACTCGACTCGTGTCGCTGTTGCTGGTTCCTGCTTCTTACTGCAGTGGCGTAACGCTGTTGCCTGGTAGGTTCACTGACTCGAAATCCCATAGTAACATCAAGCCAAATCCCTCGTTTGGCTCTCGCTGTGTCCTGTGGCAGGACGGGATCTCGGTATACCAAAGTCTACCTACACGTAGCCTCTTTCTGGCAAGCAGCGAGGTTGACTTAGATTCGGAACGGACTTCAAAGATTCGAGCTCTCTATGTGCCACCAAGTAAACAACAGCAACATACCGGGATTCAATTGTTTCTCTCGTATGGACCTACCGAAGAAAAGGTGATTCGATTAAGTCGAGATAGTTGAAGAACAGGGCGCAGCATTCGAGCGTGGTCCAGATGTAAAAATATTCTTGATTACAGAAACTCGAGCAAAGTCAATCTGACCGGGGCACATAGGAAGTGGCTACTCCTATGCTGACTACCGTAGACCCGGGATTCTGGCTAACTGCTAAGAGAAACTGTGCGATGATCCTTGATCAAAGATCCTTGGGCCCTTGAATTTTTTATTAAATTAGGATCTCGATCCAGGTCATAGATTTCATTGAAACGGCTAACGAGCCAAACCACCAAGTGGCTTCCACACTGAGATAACAACCAAACAGAAGACGCCGTACGTGATCCTCTCATGGAATATCCGCACACTATACTGAATTTCCAGACCGCCGCGACGCCCCGCGTCGTACTGGCTCAAATTCCAACTCCATTTTCTTCGCAACACCACACGGGCTGTATGGGGAAGCCGACGAAGTTGCTCCAACAGCTGTGGGGAATGTATCGCCATTATTTGTTCCAGCTCTGCTAGCTCCTTTCCAGTCCCTTTCCATTCCATCCTCCTCCCTCTCTTCCCTCCTTCCCTACTTCTTGCTCACTCACGCATCCGCTCTGACCCATCCCTTTCGCCAATACAACATCCTGCACTACCACTGACGAAATTCTTCGAATCTAGCTCAGCCACGCGTTCGCACCGGCACTTCCTCCCTTTCCAATTAACAGACCTCCGCAAGGGCTAATTCTGGGAAAATGATAGTCCTGGAAATCCTTGGTTGAATCAGGAATCTCGTTTCTGCAGGTCCCTTCACTTTCTGTCGGTTCGCACCAGTTTTTGTCACTCGCGCTACTCATGGAAATGAGACCGTTAACATTCCACAGTAGCGCAACCCTTATTGACTATATACCATATCTACCACTCGAGCCGCACTTTGGCCTGGTATTGTGTAACGCAACGGAACGTATGAAGTCACGTTGAAATAAAGTAGTATAAAACAATGTAGCACTATGACAGGACACTCTACGAATAATAATGGCGTTTGCATCTGCCGTCCCGGTTTTACCTTCACGATTTTAAACTACCCTGCGCGAAGGGATGAAACGCACAATTTTATTTCTATTTTTTCACAATCTGGGTCAGCTCTCGATACTCTAGCGGGGTAGTTTAATGAAATTTTCGAGAGTTTCCATACTGTCATAAATATCTGCCGCTGTTGGGGGAGCAGGGTGGACTCTATGCGAATGAGTCTGCTACTTGTGGCAACAGAAGTTGAAGTAAATATAGTCGCTGGCAACAACCGACTATATCGACCACGCTTGAAATTTTATATGTATTCCATTATACGTCATTGTCATTAATGCTGCATTCGTTCTCAATGAACGATACTTATTTTCTTTCATCGGCCTAGGCTCTGGCATAGAAATAAGGTAGGGATGTTTTCATTGAGGAGAAATAGAAATTGGAGGACGCAGGAGTAACGGGATAGGGAAAGATCTCAAGCGAGTAAATATCTCGGCGGTAAATGGAATTGAATAAACATTTTTCAAGGAATAGTCGACAATGGTATGAATTTAAAAGTCGCTGAGGTAGCCGAGTCTAGATTTGCTATGGAAAAATGGTCTAGCGTAAAAATTGCACACTGATCTCGCTACCCCATCATCTCCCAGTACCAATTCCTCTTGTTATCACTCAATTCCTGCTGAGCGTCCGTTTAAAAATGCTAATAGCTAATGCTAATTTAAGATGAAAATTTTTACTCTGCCTCGTAACAAATACCCATGAATTGCTTATTCACCCGAATAGGGATGCTGTTCGTGAGATCAAAAAATTTTATACCCACCCGTAAATAGATTTACTTTTAAAAGACTCCCTTTATACAACCTACCTATTTTACAAAGGGTCGTATCGATTTAGCTCCAACGGTTAACTGACCATTTGTTCCTTGGTACATTGGATGCTGTTCGAGCATCGTCCCACACAATACATATCCAAAAGCCATTCTTCTGTAACTTCCTTTACAAAAGATGTCTTAAAGATGACTTTTTGACATTATATGTTGCTTGGGACCAGAATAGGACAAACCGCTATTTCAGGGTAACGATAAATTAACCAGGAGTTGGTAGCGTTCTGAGGATTGATGATCTACTTACTTCATAGTTTTGTGTCTCTGTCTACCTCGCTACACTTCACGTCCGTGTCAGCGGGAAGAAATATCCTCTTAGGGATCTTTGGGTTCCTTGCAGTTCCTTCCTGACGTATCACCGTCAGGTTATCCGGAGATCCTGGATTTCACGAGTCGCCTGCTTCTGACGTCTCTCAGGCTCTAATTTAAATATCGCTCGAATACGTTTGAGCGAGACCGTATAGAGTCGTGTACCCGAGGCACCCCGTAGTTCTCGTACGGATGAAGGGATCGGATCCCTGGTCCCTCCTAGCTGGTGGTCCTACCGTACCGGCTATGCATTTATGGATGTCGAGATGCAAATATCGTTTACATACGGATCGACGCCGTCCATCCATTACTTACCCACAGTTTTGTTGGTTTTTGATTTCACTCAGGTCTTTGATTCAATCGATCATTCTTCTCTATTCGAGAAACTTGTTTCCTTTATGTTTTCGTATTCATTGTTGATCTAATCCTACCTATAGAAGATCGTCAGGTTTACTTGGCAAACCTAGATACGGTTTTTAATGACTCTTATAACCCTCAATATTTTGCAAAAGTCAATATTAACTTATATATTAATTCGCGGTATAATTTTCATAATTTTTACTGCAAATATATTATATGTATATGCTGTTATACTATGCTGGATAATTGCTCGTGCTGTTGCGCTCTTGCGGATTTTTCATTAAGTCTAGTATGGTAGATGTCGACGCTGTTTACGAATAGATCGGTTCTATCATGAATTCAGCTAAGTATTATTACTAGGACAAGATTAATATTTGTGATATACTCTGATGGCGATTTTGCTGAAGGATCGACCAAAGTGTTAATGCCATAATACATTTTTTGTACATTCTGTGTTGGGTATTTTTTGCATATATGATTGTACTTGGCTGTTTGCAATCTTAATATTCTCGATATAAGCCAAAACGAAAGCGCACTGCTGGGGAATGATGCACAGAGGATTGATCGAGTGGCTGATGATGATTATTCAAGGAGTGCATCTCAGTAAAATTAAATTTTCTTCTTTAGAGGAAGGGATCGATATGTCTTTGGTCATCGTGTAGGTTAGAGAAAGCGTTAAGGTTGAAAGCTGTCCTGTATAATGGAGAGCTGCTCTTATCCTGCGGACTTGATTAGCGATGCTGTGTGTGGAGAATGAGCTTTAACCTTCGTCTCGCGAAGGAGAGATGGAGGCTGGATAACTGAAGGAATGGGGAAAAAAAATGACTAAAAACGAAATGAAGGAAATTTTCAAGATCTGAAAAAAATTACTTCATCATATCGAGAAACGTGGCTCAATGAGGCTTTTGTCGCCTTGAGGGTCTGAACTCAATTTTCAAGGGTACAGTCCGCCGCCAAATTTAAAACTACCTAATGATATGTAAATATTCCAAAAGCTAATTGAATTTCTCTCCTCGTTTTTCTTGCAGATTAAGGAACGAAGGTGCGGCTACGCAAAGAAGCGCTATCGCGACAGTTCAAAGAGAAGGAGGGAAGGATGAAAGGATCAGGATCGGGTATGAGGAAGGACGAAAACTCGTGAAGATATCAGGTAATGAGGGAGACAGACAGAGAGAAGAAACGTTGAAACCGACGTGACGGAGAAGGACACAAATGGTGGTGGGTGATTCCAGGAGGGTTGAGGGAGGTTTTCAGAGGGTAGCGAAAATATAAGCAAATTACTGGCTCTGCCCAGACCACGTTGATCTCTGGCCGCCGAGATACCGAATAATGAAATTGACCGCAAAAGGACTTCCGTTTCTCAGTGTCAAGGACGATGAATACCTGCGGAAAAGGTCCTCCGAAGGAGGAGAAAGGAACGCAGGAAGGATATTCATAACGCACGGCAAGCGGACGACGTGCCGCAAGGTACGTCGAGAAATCGCGTTCTTCGAGACGAGATGCTGAACTTTTAACTTTTTCTCGATTCCGGCAACGACTGAGAGTGCGACGAAGAAGCAGACCAAACAAACGGACACTGTAGAGAAAGAGGGACAAGGAGGGGAGGACAGTGAAAAATAACATAGGCATTTTAAATCCAATCGCTAAAAAGTGACTTGAACGTTCGAAGGATCCTCTTTTGTGTAATTCCCTTGAAAATTAAAAAAAAAATTACAGCCGCCTTCGCAGTCATCCTCCCGTTAATCGGCATATCCGTTTGCGACGTATGAAACGAAAGCGCGTTCATCGTCGACATCTCGTTCGTCTTCGTTACCGACCGATCGCTTGGTCGGCCGGTGTCGTCGGGAAGTAAACTAAAAATTTCAAGGTACCGTCGTTGCACGTTGCCACGCGAGGGACGCATGGCGTCGGGCTTTCGTTCCCATCAGCGGTAATAATTTATTCGGCCGTAAAACAAAATGAATTATTCACAATGCATCAGCGTGCAAGCGCACTCCGTGACAAAGTATTGCAATTTACAGTAAATCGCCATTTGCAAGTCGCGCAAAGTACGCCGTGATTGTACGGGACTGTACTGTAGTCGAGCGATGTTAAAGTATGGATTTGCTTGGCGACGCGTTCACACGTGAGAACGTTAAATCACTGTTTAGTAACGTTGCCAGGCTATCGAACGCCTAATCGTAATAGTCGACGTCCCGCGGCGACCCGAATATTCCCATAGAATCCAAGACAATCGGGAAGTGAATAAAAACGAGATCTACCTTATCGATAACGAAGGAATCGCGAAAATCGTGGGCGCGGAGGAAATTTAATTTGCCGAGACATAATGCGAGTCTAAAATCTCACTGAAATATGGCGCCGTCCGGGAGCTCGAGGACGGAATGTGCCCGAACTAAGAATCGTCCCTGAGCCACGTGGAAATTTATGATAATAGTGTCACGAGGTCAGCGCGAGTCGACCAGAGATTAGAGTTCCTACTGCGACGATAAATGTGAGCCATTCCCTTGATCCAAGCGTCGAGCCGAATATTGTCTTGGACAAATGTGAATTAGGCCCAAGTCCCAGAAGTACGCAGGCACTAAAAGCACGGAAGAATGGAGAAGGACAGTGCACGGCATTATAGAGCTTACGAAGGCCTAAAGCCGGCCAACAATGGCAACACGTCCTCCCTCAAGAGAGGTACGGATCCATCCAAGAATCGTTCACGACCAATAAAATGTCTTTGCTTTGGAGGTGTACCTGATAAAGCGAGTCATCATTCCTTCCTGAAAGGTTTCATCATTAATCTGGGCATATGCGCCCTACTCGTTTCTTACACCCTGCTTGGTAGCTTTATCTTTCTGGCGATAGAGGGCGGTAGCGATGGTATACATCAGCGCACCCTAGCGACAACAATCGCCAGCGGAAATCAGCCTGCTCGAAGAAATACAACTGCGTGGCTCAAGCAGGTAACTGCTAAAGATAAAATTGCGCTTGACCTTTTTTTTTCTCATTTTTGTTGCTCCGTGTAATCTATTGAGGAATATTTTAACGGATACTTGTAATAACGCATAGATTACGTAATAGGGGAAAATATAAATTTTCAGATAACCCACGAAGCCAGAGCGAGGACAGTGCAGAATATATGGGAGCTCACGGTGACCCTGAACATTCTCTATCGAGAAAACTGGACCAGGCTGGCCGGTCAGGAAATCGCACGGTTTCAGGATCAACTGGTCAAAAGGATCACGGAGGACGTGATAGCGTCTCAAAATGCTGGTACCTTCCTGGGATCTCACAACGATGGCGTGACAGAGCGACGAGTTCCTGACTACGAGTGGAACTTTGCGAAAGCTTTTCTATACTCTCTCACCGTCCTCACAACGATCGGTGAGTCAATCCAATATCCAATATCTTTATGGAAATTTGAATTTGTCTCGTCCTCTGCGTCGTTTTGTATCTTACTTGTATGCGAATTTTTGACAATTTCAAATTTACTGTAAAACTGAAACGGGCTAATCGGAACGTATGATCAGTCTGGAATTATTAGATAAAGGCGTACCCGCATGCACCGAGCTATACCAGACTTGACGAGCAGAGCCAAGAAAAAGGACTTTGTCATTCTGACTTGTGAAATTTCACAAGTATGCTACTTGGAATGTTTAGAAATGGCAAGAAATGAACCTCCCGGGTGGTTGGCTAGAGGGGGGGATGAATAGGAAGAAGTTTGGAATATAGGAGGACGATAATATTTGTATATAATTAGTGGGTCAGCCGAAGGGGGGATTGAAAGACATTGATGTAAGGGAGGATAATTACTGGGGGCAAATACTAGACAATTTAACTCTCTGCAGAGTCTCTGTCTCGTATCGCCCTGAGGCTTCTCTGTTTGAGTCGGCGCCACTATTTAACAAGCTAAACACTATGCACTCTGTCTCGTCTTCCCTCCCCCGATCCGCCTCGTTTGAACAGCTAGCAGAGTGAACAGCCCTGGCGAAACTATAGGCAAGCCCACCATTTTGGAACTTGGACCGGTTAACTCGTTACGGGAATAATTTTCCAATTTAGCTTCAGGTCAGATCAGTTTCTACCTTAATCCTAGATCCTGCGTATAATCGCTCAATTGTTTCCTAAAAGCATTTGACCATCGTCAAAACCTCATTACGTTTTCTTTTTACTGCTGTTAATGCCCCAATAGCCGCTCGAAAATCGCTAGTTAAATATACCATTGAGAAACGTTTCTTTATTTTTTTTTCCTTTTGGAAAAACTCGCAGAAAGAAAATATCAGTGCCAAGTCATCGATTCGTAATGCGAACTCCTCTGAAACTAGAAGCACCGTTAAGCAGCCGTAGCACTAAAGGGCAAAAACACGTAGGAGCCAATATGGCTGACATCAATTTTCAGCGCAAATAAAGCCCAACATTAGCGCATAATGGTTGTTCAGTCTGTCGGACAAGTATTGTCTCGCGATACTGTAGAAAATTCGTAATGTCAGAATGCCCTATGGGACAACATATAATCCTTTGAATTTTCCCAGGATTTCAGCCGAGCGAAATGCCATCCGAACGTTCGAAATCGTTATTACTAGAATAGATTGGAAGTTCATTGTTTAGCCGATATTTAAAAACTCAATGGAGACTCTATTTCCTTTACCGAGTCGTTACGCCCGTTTAATTTTAATTGGTTGAGCCATTCAGATTTTTCGAGGCGCCCCTGGTAATCTTGATGCCCGTCAAGTATAGCTTGTATACCGATCGCTTCCACCGGTCGGAAAAGACTTTCGGATAAATGGATAAATCTTAGTGAACCTGCAGGGCGATGCCGTGAATTTGGTGTGAACTTTCGTCGAAATCTTTAGCGAAGAACTTTTGCTTTAAAGTCGCGGGGAAGAGAGGCTGAAGATAATTATTATTTAATTTGCGTAATTAGGAAAAGCTAGCTCGGCCGCATTAACGTCAAGTGCACGAAAGAGCCGAACGAATAAGCTTTCATTGTCAGGCTTACCCCAAAGAATGGTTTCGAGTACGTTAAGTGACTCGATCATAAAAAAAAAAGATAACACCCCAACATAAAGGGGGTCAAGTTTTTCGTACCTTTTGAAAGAAAGGAGCTTTTTTGGGTAAAAAAAGTGCCAACAAACCAATGAATTGAAGCGACTGTAACTATTTGCGAAAGTTTCATGATAAGAACATCCTCGTCCGGACGAACGTGAAATAGTTAATAGCGAGACGAACCGGAAATGGCTATGAGGGCAAAGGGGGGTGGAACGGAAGGGAAGTCGCAAATTAATTTTGCTCCTTCGAAACCCTCATGGCAGATCCACCTACCACACTCCTGGTAAACTTAACTCACTGGCTGTTTTGTTTCATCCTTGTCCCTTCCGTCGTGGGAAAGCCACTCAACTTTTTCTCGTGACTGTACCCCTCGCGCTCTTCATCCACGTCCCGTCCTTGTTCTACCAACCACATTGTACCTTTTTTTTTTCGACAGTTAATTACGAAAAGTATCGCAGTACTTTTTATCAGGTCGTCCGAGCTTGAAAATATTGTTGGAAAACTCGGGCCGTTCATATTTTAAATCGCTTAACAGTCGCGCGGCTGTATCCTTGGGCGGGGTACAAAAAAAGAGGGGAAAACGGCATCGGAGGAAAGCTTCACCGGCATTCCTGAGGGAGCAAGAGAGAAGCGCGAGAGAAGTGGTAAAATGGGTAGAAGGATGAAAGAAGAGAAGTTTCACAGTGTCTCCGGCAGGCATGGATAAAGAAACGTTCTTTATTGCGGGCCCAGAGAGAAAGTCCGTAAGTTGCCTTTCGAAAAAGATAAGTTCCCAGAAGCGCAGCACTTTTCCACGATTGAGATCGATTTCATTCGGTTGCCAGTTTACTGTGAACCGGATACGCTGCCTCTTGTTCGTTGCTCATTTTTTTCGTTTTTTTTTTCACGTCAAAAGAGGATTCGCTTTATGCCGCGAGCTACGCGAACCTCGACTCGTTATCATCTGTAGGCGTTTCAACTTCGCGACGCCACTCCGTCCCTCTGGATTCACTCAAAGTTCTAAGATCGTCAGCAGAAAATTCAGAGCGTCGGCCGCCCGTCGCCACACCTTCTCCCTGCCTCCGTCGCGACGCCACCGTTTTACCTCGACGCTCGAATTTATCGAGACCCTTCGGCGAAACATATATTCGCGAAATTTAATAAATTTTTCCGAAATTTTTATTAAATTTCGCGTGAAAAAGCTTTCAGCATTTTTATTATTCTATTAGTCCTTGAAGTACGGGCACGAGAAGCGCGGGCTTTACGAATGCAGATAAATAATGACGATAAATAAAGGTTATCGAGATATCGATATATCGTTATTAGCGTCAAGTCTGTATTACGTAATTATATTTTAATTGAAATTTTTCATCGCTTTTTAATGATATTCATGTCCTGGTTTTTACTTCTTATCTAACCAACGAATATCGAAAAATTTCTGGCTACCCTTCGTCGTCCGTTTGCTCGTGAAACTTTTCAATTCGATGCCTTCAATGTTTCGGCCTTCCCACGGAGTAAATATGGATGCAGGGTGCAGAAAGGCAAAGACAAACATTGAAGGAAGGAAGAAGACGGAGAGAGAGAGGTACTCATCTCCAAGATGCCTATTTCTCATTGGCGAAACCGAAAGAGATTCAGTACCAACCTGAGGGACTTCGAAAGGCGATATAGCTGTTTCACTTTTTTCACCCTTTCTCTTCTTCTTTTCCACGCTCTCATAGTCTGACTCTCTTAGATTTTTCCTCGAGGAAACTTTTACGACGTGTCAATGCTGGAATACCAAAAGAAAAGTCTCTTCCTTTACTAATAACGTTTATGCATCGTGGATGATGTATCGTCTTCGCCCGACTGAAAATCTCGATGCACCATTTCTGGCTTTTTAAATATTTGGCCAGGAGCCGCGAGAATAACTTGTAGTCACGGATCGGATTTTATACATATCAGAAGAAGAATAATAAGATGCCAAAAAATATTGTACATATATACGGTTATGCGTAAATAAGAATTTGATATTTTTATTATATTTTATTATACCCCCCATATAGCTTTCTGGCGACTGTCGACACGATCGAAAAATTAAAGCCGAGGATTATAATGAATATTCATAGAGAGTGAAAACATGAATAGAACGCCGCGACTTCGTCCCTTTATTTGTCAACCTCAAAAGAAACTGGAAATTCAGATTAGGTCGAACGAGGTTACGAAAAGTTAAGGGTGGATGAAATTTTTCCTGTTGGCCGAGCAACCACCCAGTCATCCCAGTCAGCCACCAGAAGGTTGTTTCGCATGTTGAGCCAAGAGTAATCACAGTGTAGATAGTGTCCATTAATCATCCCTGCTGGTTACTTTCGCATCATCATAATCTCTGCACCGGGGTGGCTTGTCTCATTTGTTCATTGCTTAGACACCCCAACAGCAACCCCTTCCGACTTTTCGTTAGTCTCGCAATCTTTTGTTCAGCTTCTTCTGTCTTTTCTTCCTACGCTTTCCCTAGTTCAGAATGTAGGACTAGGGTAACGTTGAACGAGGGCTGTCGAAATTACCTGGACTCCAAGAGTTACGACGATGGCAACTGCGGTGCAAGAGACGCGTTTGGAGCTTCGCGGATTTTAATCAGAAACCAGAGACCCAAGACGTGGTAGTGGCTCACTAATGGATTGGCAGGTCGACTTGCACCTAATCATAATTTTTGGAGCTTCCGCTGCACAGCTCACTGAATCAGTCGTCATTGTCACTTACGTGAATTCAGTACTGCAGGCAGTGGGTATTTAAAAGGTAGAAAAAGAAAAGAGACTTTATCATAAAAAAGCACGAAATACATAAGGAGGGTTGATAGAAAGCAGGAATATAACTCTTAAAAATTGTTACCTACCCTAATAACCTATTTTGAATAAAAGCACTTGGTACCTTGTATCGTCAGCTAAATGGTGGCTGAGTGTAACTTTTAGTCAATAGTGAAAGGTGCCAAGGGGAAATAAGCGGAATTGGAAAAAGGAGAAAGAAAGAAAAAAAAGGTATAAAGAGAAGCAAAGGGTCTCTTTCCTTTTTTCTTTCTTTCTATTTCAAACGGTCCATGGAATCACGTCAGCATCCCACTCCACACGTAGTGAGTACCTATCCGTGCCTTCTAGCCCCTAGTCGCAGTCCGCACTCATCAGGACACTGAGACGCGTCACGATCCAAACTCTCCTACGGCCCTCCCTCCCCGTTAACCCCGTTCCACCCGAAATAGCTGTTTTCATTTCCCATTTCCTTTATCTTTTGTAATTCCGGCTTGGCGAATCTTCCTCGAACCCCTCGTTCACCCAAGCGCATCCACAACGCCTTCGATACGTTCACGCCCCCTCCAACAGCTC